CGTAAAATCTGAATGGTTTCATACCTTCTTGTGTTTTTTGTCTTTCAGAGAGTTTCCAGGATGTGGCAACATCGTCACCTTTGCTCAGTTTGTCTTTATTGCCTTGGAGGGATGGATTTTTGAAACAGACTTTGGGAGGAAGAAGCCAACAATCCCCGTCAGGTGAGGGGAGACCAAACTGGTTCGTTTAAATGTCCTGCTGCAGGTAAGATGGTTACTGACGATAAAAATAATCTGTTCTTTTCTTCCCAGTAACTATGTTATAATGGTGACCATGTTCTTCACCGTCAGCGTGATCAACAACTACGCTCTGAACTTTAACATCGCCATGCCGCTGCACATGATCTTCAGAGCAGTAGGTGTCCCTTCACGCTCACCGCTCCCTCCTCCTCGGTCTGACTCCTGTGGTTAAAACTGCTGCCTCTCCTCCACAGGGATCACTCATCGCCAACATGGTCCTCGGAATAATCATCCTGAAAAAGAGGTATCTCTTCTCAAATCATAGAAAGTCTGAACTGCTTCACACATAGTTACCGTATTTTCCGCCGTACACGTCGCACCGCCCTATAAGTCGCATCAGTCCAAATATGTCTAATAAAGTGGAAAAATCCATAAATGTGTCGCATTTATTACGCGTCACCGCTGACAACCCAGAAATGTGGGCCGGTGTTGTGCCAAAAATCGATGGGCTGCCAAATGGCGGCCGCGGGAGCGTGCACTGGAGGACTTTAACAAGGATTTAACAAGATTAACACTTAAAAACAATTATTTGTTTGCTCATAATTTTAGTAAAGTTGTGTCTCAGTGTAACTTTTCCTTAATAAATGTACTTTGGCGGTCAAATCAGCTGCATTTCAAAAGCCAATTCGCGGGAGCGCACAGAGGGACGACTCATTTCTTTGCAATTTGACAAAAGCAACTAAAAACAATTATTTGTTTGCTTGAATTTATAGTAAAGGTGTGTCTCAGTCTAACTTTTACTTAATAAATGCAGTTTAATGGTCAAATTAGCTGAGTTTCTCCGGGGCGGTGCAGCGAAATGAAGCTGATTTGACGTTCCCTCCAAGCGAGCAGAACGAAGGTGGCCTCTATGGCAAGCCGATTGTGTCATTAATAGCCACTTTTCCCTATTACATGACACAACGGCATGCCATACTACTCAAGTGCCATCTAGCGGCTGAAAATGGTAGTGTTGAATATTTTCAGTCAGAATGAATGAAAACGGTCAGATCTCAGCCAAAAATTGGTTCATAAATATGGAAAAATCCATAAATACGTCGTTTCGGGGTACAAGTCACAGGGCATGCAAATTGTGCAAAAAACTGTGACTTATAGGCTGAAAAATACGGTAGTTCATTGCAATCGTGTTTTCTGACTGCAGGTACTCGGCCAGCAAATATCTGTCTATAGCTTTAGTTTCTGTCGGCATCTTCATCTGCACCGTCATGTCCGCCAAACAAGTGGTGAGTATCTGCAGCGCAGCAGCTCTCTGCTTTTGGTTATTAAAACTCTGTTAATGGCGTGTCATCGTGCTGGCTGGTTTTAGCACGACGTGTCTGGTGACGGGTCAGAGGAGGATGGCTTTTACGCCTTCATTCGTTGGCTCATAGGTGAGTCGTGACACAGAAGTTTCAGAGCAACTTTATGATCTTTTTTCTGCGTGCCTGACCTTAGTGTTGCTCAGGCATCGCCATGCTGACGTTCGCTCTGCTGATGTCGGCGAGGATGGGCATCTTCCAGGAGATGCTCTACAAAAAGTACGGGAAACACTCCAAAGAGGCTCTCTTCTACAACGTGAGTTTCACCTCAAACAACTACAGAGCCGCGATGAAGGCAGCCTGATGATGTTTTTCATAACCTTGCTCTCACATTCAGCCGATGCATCCGAGTTAAAGAAGTTGTGTTTGTGTTTTCAGCACTGCCTACCTCTGCCCGGGTTCCTGCTGCTCTCCACAGATATCTACAACCACGGCGTCCTCTTCAGTCAGAGCAGTGAGCTCAAACCAGGTTTTCATCTGAAAACAATACAGTTCCATACATGACTTTGATCGCTGAAGGTTTTTTTGGTGTTTTTGTTTGTTTTGGCAGCTCCGGTACTTGTTCCGGTTCTTGGGCTGACCCTGCCGATAATGTGGATCTACCTGCTGATGAACGTGATCACACAGTATCCTTTTCATTGTTTAAATCACTCTTTGACTGATACATTACCGCTAAGTTCAGTTATTCTTAGCTTTGTCTGAGTATTCCTAGGTATCAATATCAAAACCTTTAAACCCGTGGCCGTAGTTTATTTTATGGTTACGCTACATTATAGAATATAATGATATAAAACAAAACTAAACCTTCTGCCTCTTACCTTCTGTCTGTCTTAGAGGATGGTTTAGAAAATGTTGACACAATGACGGTTAAACTGGCAAACTTTAGTACACCTGACTCCATCACTGAACCCTGCCTCACTCAGGCAGAACCTTTTATTTCTCAGGGTTTGCTCCGAGTGTGTGATTTGTCAGAACTTTGTGTGTTTCTGCAGAAAAGCAACTACGTAACTACAAAGCTCTGGTTTGGCTTCAACTGGCCGAGGCTGTTAGAAATCACAGCCATCTTTAAAAAGATGGTCCAATAAATCTTATAGTCAAAGAACTTGTGGAAGCAGATGGCACGATTACTGTGCACGGAGGAGACCGAGCAGTCCTCCGGAGGGAGCAGCCTCGGCCGGACAGTCTTTTCGTGCACCGTCTGCCAAAAACTATGGCGATCTCTGTGACAAGTTTGCAGAACTAATTTAAAAAGTCTCACAACCCTGTGAGCAAGAACAGATGTTTTTTAGCACGTCGCTTTGTATAAATCAGCTTTTACTGTGTAAACCTCAGAACACAACATGAGGCTTCACTGTTTTCAGCTTTAGCAGGTAAACTGAGGAGAAGTAATTCAGTTGTGTTGAAATCTGCAGATTAGAAAAGACTTCGACTATAGTTACACATTCTGATCCTGGTTTAGTGTCGCTGCTCTCAACCATGCAGACCTGACAGAGTTAAAGTCATGTTGGCTACCGTATTTGCCGCCGTAAACGCCACATCTCCGTATAAGTCACATCAGTCCAAAAATGACCAATAAAGTGGAAAAAACATAAATACGTTGCTTCGCCGTGTAAGATCCATCTAATATGCATCACCGGGAAAACGTGGGCCGGTGTTGTGCTAAAAATCGATTGGCAGCCAAATGGCGGCTGCAGGAGCGTGCATGGGAGGACTTTAACAAGAATTTAACAAGATTAACACTTAAAAACAATTTTGTTTGCTCTAAATTATAGCAAAGGTGTGTCTCAGTCTTACTTTTTCTTATTCAAAGCACTTTGACGGTCACATCAGCTGCATTTCTCCTGGGTGTTGCAGCTGATTTGACGTTTGCTCCAGGAGTTCTGGAGCGAGATGAAGATTGATTGTATGGCAAGCCAAGTGTGTCATTAATAGCAACTTTTCCCTAAGTGTCTCATTAATAGCAACTTTTCCCTTTTAATGAGACACTTGGCTTGCCACATTAGTCGAGAGCCCTCTAGTGGCTGAAAATGTTAGTGTTCAACATTTTCCATGTCAGAATGAATGAAATCATCAGATCTCAGCCATAAATTGGGTTATATATAAATATGGAGGAAAAAACATTAATATGTCGCTTCATTGTATAAGTCACAGGCATGCTAATTTATGCAAAAAACTGCAACTTATACAGCAAAACATTTGGTAGTTGTGAACTCGTGACCCTCAGGAAGAGCAACAGCAAATATAAAACAATTAGTTTTCACAACAGAACCTAAGAATTTAGTTGTTTGTTTGTTTTAGTCATCATCTCTGAGCCTCGCTGCGGTCTTTAACCAGCTCTTCAGGTACGTGTGCATCCGTGGGGTTTTCATCCTGACCACAGAGTGCACGTCGCTCACCGTCACCCTGGTGGTGACGCTCAGGAAGTTCCTCAGTCTCATCTTCTCCATCCTTTACTTCCAAAACCCCTTCACCGCCTGGCACTGGCTGGGCACGGCCGTGGTCTTCGCAGGCACTCTGCTGTACACGGAGGTGTGGAGCAGCGTGAGCGCTGCCCTGCGAAGCGCCGACGTCAAGGAGGAGAAGGCCGAGTGACGGAGCCGATAATCTGCCTCTGCTGGACTTTATAGTTTTAAGTTTTCTTGCAGTGGTTTTTATACAATCATGGTCTATTTGTTGAACACATCATGTCCAGACCCTCACATAAGAACTGATAATATTTAACTTCTTCTTTTTGTTAACGTCAACAGATCTCATGAAAAGACCAGAATTATGTGTTTATGCTAATGCTTACAGAGTAATGTGTTTTTTAATGTGCTTTTTATTTTGAGTATGTTTGCTGAATGTTGCGCTCTGATTGGACGGTTGTTTACACATGTTGGGACCAAACGTGTCCTTTCACTCCCTCAAAGCACGACGCTGATGTTCAGGGTGCTATAACTGAAGCTACTAGTTGCAAACTATAATGTCAAATATAAATAAGATTATCCTGAACAATCTGTGAAAGACTTCACTCCAAATATATTGATGTGCAATCCTGAAATACATCATTCCACCTAAACAAAGCACTTTAGTCAACAAACAAATCAGCATGAATACACGCAATCTGCTAAAACTGTCGACTTGATCCTGAACAAGTCGTCCATGGACGTCGCACCGGCAACCTGTTTTGAGTCAAACGTGTTCAGCAGCTGTGAAGAAAATGTGCTTATATTTTTTTAATTTAAGGCCACTTTCATCATCAGGATGAGTAAAACGATGGTGTGGATTTAGTTTCTTTGTCGTGACATTTCAGTGAGTAAATTTAAAGTTGCGTTGGAAATTTAGTTGATTCTGAATCGTGGATCAGATCAGCTCTTGAGTCCGTTGAGCGGAAAATGTCCTGGTTTTATTAATATTAAATAAGAGCTTATTGTGTTTGAAAAACAAATCCTGTTTTGGTCTTTTCATGTGATCTGCTGACAGAAACGTGAAACATCTCCAGACTTTCTTTATCACTTGTACCTCAGTAAAAGGTTTGTAGGCTCATTCATCCAGGCAGATTAAAAAAGGTTAAATCAGGTCATCTGGTGCACTTAAGTTGTGATGTTTAGATATTTGTTTTAGACAATAATCAGGTTGATTGTTCCATGTTTGTGCTCATTTCACTGAGCAGATCATGTATGCAGAGACCACAGCCCTCCTCGTCATGCTCAACCAGTTTTAGTCAATAAAACTTCACACTCCAAAACAACCAAAGAGACTTTTTACAATGATTGGTGTTTATTCTAAATAAATGTTTTTATAATGTACAAGTTGTGTCCCTGCCTATAGACGGGACAGTTGACTGGTTTTAACATGAACTGGACCAGTTCAGCTCCTGCTGCTACATTCAGAGGTGGGAGCAGCAGAGTTAGATTCACTCACATCTGTGATCGATCATCAATAATCTGAACGAAGCCTTGTTTTACTTTGTGTGTCTGCAAGATGGAGGAAACAGCTGGAGTCACTTCTCTGAGGAGGATAAAGGAGGAATTATAGATTAATAGATATATACATACATATCTATATAAATCCATATATATCTATGTGTGTATATATACAGGTCCTTCTCAAAAAATTAGCATATTGTGATAAAGGTCATTATTTTCCATAATGTAATGATAAAAATGAAACTTTCATATATTTCAGATTCATTGCACACCAACTGAAATATTTCAGGTCTTTAATTGTTTTAATACTGATGATTATGGCATACAGCTCATGAAAACCCAAAATGCCTGTCCCAAAAAAATAGCATATCATGAAAAGGTTCTCTAAACAAGCTATTAACCTAACCATCTGAATCAACGACGTAACTCTAAACACCTGCAAAAGATTTCTGAAGCTTTTAAAAACTCCCAGCCTTGTTCATTACTCAAAACCACAATCATGGGTAAGACTGCCGACATGACTGCTGTCCAGAAGGCCATCATTGACACCCTCAAGCAAGAGGGTAAGACACAGAAAGAAATTGCTGAACGAATAGGCTGTTCCCAGAGTGCTGTATCAAGGCACCTCAGTGGGAATTCTGTGGGAAGGGAAAAGTGTGGCAGAAAACGCTGCACAACGAGAAGAGGTGACCAGACCCTGAGGAGGATTGTGGAGAAGGGCCGATTCCAGACCTTGGGGGACCTGCGGAAGCAGTGGACTGAGTCTGGAGTAGAAACATCCAGAGCCACCGTGCACAGGCGTGTGCAGGAAATGGGCTACAGGTGCCGCATTCCCCAGATCAAGCCACTTTTGAACCAGAAACAGCGGCAGAAGCGCCTGACCTGGGCTACAGAGAAGCAGCACTGGACTGTTGCTCAGTGGTCCAAAGTACTTTTTTCGGATGAAAGCAAATTTTGCATGTCATTCGGAAATCAAGGTGCCAGAGTCTGGAGGAAGACTGGGGAGAAGGAAATGCCAAAATGCCAGAAGTGAAGCACCCACAGTCAGTGATGGACTGGGGTGTCATGTCATCTGCTGGTGTTGGTCCACTGTGTTTTATCAAGGGCAGGGTCAATGCAGCTAGCTATCAGGAGATTTTGGAGCACTTCATACTTCCATCTGCTGAAAAGCTTTATGGAGATGAAGATTTAATTTTCAGCACGACCTGGCACCTGCTCACAGTGCCAAAACCACTGGTAAATGGTTTACTGACCATGGTATTTCTAGACTGGAGCAGTGGATGGGCATCACAGGGTCAGCCCTTAAATGGTTTGGGTCCTACCTCTCTGACAGAACCTTCTGTGTCAATATCAAAGATCTTAGTTCGGCATCGACTGCACTCCAGTGGGGGGTACCGCAGGGGTCCATCCTCGGTCCCCTTCTCTTTTCTTTATACCTGCTGCCACTAGGTGCTATCTTCCGCAAACGCGACATACCCTTTCATTTCTATGCCGATGATTGCCAAATTTACTTCCCCCTGAGGCACAGAGGCACACGCTCTATTCAGTCTCTTCTTGACTGCCTGGCTGACATCCGGGACTGGATGGCTTTAAACTTCTTAAGCTTCAATGAGAAGAAGTCTGAAGTCATGCTGTTCCATCCCAGTGGCTCACTCATGAACCATGACATTGACCTTTTCTCTCTAGCCTCGCTAGAGAAACAAAAGGTGACTAATCTGGGGGTGATAATGGACCCGTCCTTAAAACTCAACAGTCACGTAAACGTGATGGTCAAATCCTGTTTTTTTCAGCTGAGACGGCTGTCTAAGCTGAAGCCTATACTCTCCAAAAAGAACCTTGAGACAGTGATCCACGCCTTCATAACATCTAGGCTTGATTACTGCAATTCACTTCTGTTTGGAATCAGTCAGTCCTCCATTGCTCGTCTACAACTGGTCCAAAATGCTGCAGCCCGATTTTTAACTGGTACAGGCTATAGAGAGCACATCACGCCAGTTTTGGCCTCCCTGCACTGGCTACCCATTCACCTTCGGATCCATTTCAAAATTCTCATGTATGTTTTTAAATCACTGAACAGTTCCGCCCCATCCTATCTCACTGATCTTCTGCAGCCATATGTCCCACCGCGCTCTCTGAGGTCAGCAGACCAGATGCTTCTCTCAGTCCCAGAAACCCGTCGTAAGCTCAGGGGTGACAGGGCTTTCTCTGTTGCAGGTCCACGACTGTGGAATGAGTTGCCACTGAGTGTCCGGCAGGCTCCCACACTCTCAGTCTTTAAGTCTCGCTTGAAGACCCACTTCTATTCGCTTGCCTTTAACACGGTGTGATTTGTTTTGGTCCGGTCTGTTCTCTACTATGTTGGCCATTTTAGTTAGCTTCTGCTGCTATTTGTATATGTATTTCTATTTTATGTTTTCCTGTCTGCTGTGCATGTTTGGTTCTTTTGTACAGCACTTTGGTTGGCCTTGTTGCTGTTTTAAGTGCTATATAAATAAATTGGTATGGTATGGTATGGTATGGTATGGTATGGTATGGTATTACTGTGCTCAATTGGCCTGCCAACTCTCCTGACCTGAACCCCATAGAGAACCTGTGGGATATTGTGAAGAGAAAGTTGAGAGACGCAAGACCCAACAATCTGGATGAGCTTAAGGCCGCTATCGAAGCATCCTGGGCCTCCATAACACCTCAGCAGTGCCACAGGCTGATTGCCTCCATGCCATGCCGCATTGAAGCAGTCATTCATGCAAAAGGATTCCCGACCAAGTATTGAGTGCATAACTGAACATGATTATTTGAAGGTTGGCGTTTTTTGTATTAAAAACACTTGTCTTTCATTGGTGGGATGAAATATGCTAATTTTTTGGGACAGGCATTTTGGGTTTTCATGAGCTGTATGCCATAATCATCAGTATTAAAACAATTAAAGACCTGAAATATTTCAGTTGGTGTGCAATGAATCTGAAATATATGAAAGTTTCATTTTTATCATTACATTATGGAAAATAATGACCTTTATCACAATATGCTAATTTTTTGAGAAGGACCTGTATATATAAAGAAACGCACACATATGCATATATATATTTACATACATATATGTATGTATATATATATATATATATATATATATATATACGTACTTATATGTATATATAGTGATGAACCAGTCTTTGCCGTAATGTATTTTGGGCTTTAAAAGTCACTGGGATGTTGTGTTTAGAAAATAAAGTAGAAATTGTTGTGCCAGAGTTTCAGTACAAAGGAACAAACGCAAGGAATCGCACGATATAAAATAAATAAATAAATAACAGAGAATATAAAATAAATAACAGAGAATATAAAAATACCAACAATTAAGTTCTAAACAGGTGCAGACAAAAATATTAACGTGTTTATTGTGGTGCAGGATTAATTTTATTGTCCTAGGAGGCCAAGATGATGTAGGCAGGGCTGCCGACTCGGGACCCGAAAGTCTCAGGTTCATACTGCAGGATCAATAAAGTTCTATCTTATCTTATCTTAAAAGTTTAAATAAGGAAAAACATGTGGAATTAGCTGAAAAAGCTAATTAAATTAGCCTAAAAACAGCTAAATAGTAGCTGAAATGGTAGAAAAAGCTGAAATTTGCTTTCAGTTACCAATCAGCAGTTAGACTGATTTGTAACTCTAAATTGTCCCTAGGTGTGAGTGAGAGAGTGAATAGTTGTTTGTCTCGTTTGTCTTTATAGAGCCCGAAAAGGCCCTGTGGATAAGGGGCTTATGTGTCCCTGTGATGGACTGGAGACCTGTCCAGGGTGTCCCCCACTTCTAACACAGTGACTGCTGGATATAGGCTCCAGTGACCCTTGCGACCCAAAAATGAATAAGTGGGTAAAGATAATGGATGGATGGAAGCTGAAATTTGCATAAATAAGCTGTATGCTCTTTGTGGACTTCACA